GATACAAGCTTTAAGCTGCTTTGGGAACGCATTAATGATGACTGTGCACCTTTCCGGATAAATTGTTCCAGGCAGTCAATAGAGACTTCAATTCACGAACCGATGAAAATTTTTTAGTACTTTAGAGTGTCTTTAATATTTAATAAAATGTAACTAACACTCCAGATTTATTTTTTTTTATATTTTATTACACAGGTAGCAAGCTGAGATTATTTATCGTCGTTTTAATATTAAAATGATCTATTTAGTGTTAAAATGACCCATTTAATGTTAAAATGACATATTTAATGTTATTTTGACACTAAAATGCCGTCTTTAATACCATTTTGATATCATAAAAACGACAGATAACATTAACTTGTTACAATGATTTGATAAACACACAAAACCTTGTCGCACAAACTTTTTTGTCACTCTGTAAAGCATAATAAATGTTAAACATAAAAATGAAAAACATATTAAAAAGTAGGTATCGCAAAACTAAATTACAGAAATAAAAATTTAATTGGAAAAATGTGAAACAATATTTCGTAATTTTATTACTTCGTTTGTAGCACGTAGTAATGATCTAAACTTTTACATAATAGCTTACGTAATGATGATCACCTCGTGATAATGATCTACGACGTAACCTTCGTGTATTTTTCTTTAAAAATAATTTTATAGTTACTTTGATATTTCTTATATTCAATATAACGTCGCACATGAAATTTAACGATTCACGTTTGATTTCTATCAATCATTTATCTGACATCGTTCACTTCCTTATCGAGGAATATATAAAAAAGAAAAAAGATACAACACAATCCAAGATATATCCAAGAGGATGAAAGGCAAGAGGTTAAATTCTCAGAAGTGCATCTATTACGTTCTTTGTGATTCTCCGAAAAAGAAGGAAGCTTATCACGACGTATTTGTCAATGTCAGCTCGGGTCTTTTTACGGGCGTCTACGTTTCGTGCACGGCGACTGGCGGTCGAGTCGAGTCGAGTCGCGTGGCTTCTGGAGAAGAGAATGCGTCGTTGAGATGCATCTTCTATCGGTGTGCAATTAACGTCGCGTGGAAAAGGACGGTGAAAAGCGGGAATATCGATTGACGCGATATACGAGGCGGTCTGTCGGCCGCGCGTACGTTCGATTTTCGATACATCGGGTCAGAAACCACACGATTGTGTGGATGCAACATTGATGATGTCTCGCCCGATAACCGGGTAAACGTACATATACATCCTGGCTCCCCTCGGTTATCATGCTCTCTCTCGGAGGAAGAGGATATTCGCATCGATAACGATAATCGGGTCGCATCGCTCGCGTCGACGACTTTTATTAATGATATTTTCGGCCGACACACACACACACACACCGTACCTATAATGTCGGATCGCAAAAATTCGTGCCGTAAATAAAATGCGTTTACATACTATTTTGCAATCATTACGACATTGCAACGAGAATTAAATTTATAACGATTAAGTGGAATTACGTGATCAAACGTAAAATTGTATCGTAATTTACGATGTTATATCATTAAGTATCGTTATTTAATTTACTAAAATTCCCTAAAGACGAATCAACAAACTAACGTAAATAATTCACAAAACTGACAGATTTTAATTAAATGGTAAATATATAAATTAAAATAATAATTAAAGAATTTATGTCTAACGAAATACTCGCAGTTAATTACTGATTGGATATTTAATTCATTATTACTCTGATGCGAATTGTTATACATATAAAGAGAATGTAAACTACGAGCGTTAAGAGATAATTAATGTTACATAATTAACACAAAGGTAAAAGTGCGAAAAGCAAAGAAAGCCGGCTCTTCAGCGATAATTAATGATATAATCAATCTTCGGGATTTGTTACGATGATAGATAGAATTTCTTCTTGACACTTTTTCACACAATCGCGATTCTAAGGCGTTTCCAAACGAACAAACGACGAATGAAAATTTTTCGTTATAAAGTTTATAGCAATCTTCTAATACTTTTCTTTCCGTATTTTCTAAATTTATTTACTTACGAATAAAATCGGAATTTCTTTCATTTTTCTATATAATGAGTTTGCTTATATCAATTAAATGTGTGTGTGCAATGCACGACTAGCCATAAACAATTGCTACCAATTTAAATACTTTTTAGTAGAAAACTTTTACAATAAAGATTTATTTAAGTAAATTGTTTCCCCACAATCGCTTAAAAAATTGGAAATCGATCAACCGTACAGACTGTAGAACACAATATGTGGCATTTATTATTTTAGGCTTATGTTTAATTGACTTTTTTCCGAGTATATTTTACGCGCTATATTACTCACTGAGAAAAATGTACTAAATTTTAATGAATATTTGTTTGAATAGTGCCAGGTAAATATAACGATATAATAATATTTACTGAATATAAACATATATTTATTTGATACGAAAATCATTAATTTGATTTAACTATTATATTTTTTATTTAACAAATATTTATTTTCCGTAAATAAATATTATATTGGTACACACTATCCAAACAATTATTTACTAAAATTTAGTACATTTTTCTCTCAGTGTATTTCAGAGCTGTATTATATATACCTATGTTTCTATATATATTAACACAAAGCTCTTATCCAGATATTTTAAAGAAATGATTTTCTTTAAAAACATTTTTCAGTAGTCAGATTTTTTAAATATTTTCAAACAGTAAATTTAAATCAAACAAAAATTCGACGCTTTCTCACCTTTCTCACTGTTTTTTAGACATATACCTACGTATTAGAGACGTACGATTGTAAACAAGTATGAAAGAAGGAAGAGTGTTGTAGGGTTAAGTCTGTTTACGAGCGAGCACAATACGCACTCCGCGTGCAAGTAGGTAACTGTGGTTTTTCGGAGTAGTTGGAATTTCCGGAATTCCGGCTGGCTGGCGTTCCGTTTGAAGTGACTCGAAAAAGAGGAGCGAACCAGATTCGTATTCGGAGCAACGAAATGTCCTGGTGAAATATCAGACGGAACTCGGATCTTGATTACGGCCGAAAAGGAGCGTTACGTATTTCCGTGAACTGCCGTGAAGATGAGAAATCGTGTAGGATCGCGATGAGTAACGGTCGGTTTCGTGGTTCGTAGCGAGGAGAGTTCTCCTCTAGGAGGACTTTGCCCGCGGAGAGTGGAGAGTGGAGAGAGCGGAGAGCGGAGAGCGGAGAGGAGAGCGTCTCTGGTTGTCCTGTTCGACCTTACCTAAGGTCCCGCCGCTGTGTAATGTCCGCGTCGCGGGCCCACACCCTCTCTTCAGGTGCTCCACCGGAGCTGTCACTGTCGCCGCGGCGCGACGCGTCGCGACGGCGCGACGCTGCTCCCACGCGACCACCCCGGCGACTCACCCCCAGCACGCGTGCAGCGTGCAGCACGACGACGGCCACCACCGTCGTGAGATACGCGCGTATGAACCTCGCGCCTCGCGCACACAAAGAGAACGACTGCTGCTCAAGCAGCTCGAGCGCTCATCAGTCGGAAACGCACACCACGACCCACCGTGATTACTGAACCGGAGCTACGACTGCTGCGAGTGGCTGCGAGCACGTCGCTGCTCGCTCGCTGCGAGCACGACCAGAAAAACCAAACCAGTGCCTTCTGGATTCTGAGCTCGCTCCGATTCAGAGGAAAGTCCCTATTTACTCCCAACGCTTCGCTCCAACTTCAGGCAGGTAACTTGGACTTTGTCCGGAGTTTCAAAGATATTTCAATATTTCGCCGGTCTAAAGAATTATAACGGATTGATAAGTCTGTATAGAATCGGTCATTTTTTTTTATTATTTCTTCCACTGCATTTTTATCTCTATTATCTGTATTATCTGTATTTACTGTATTTACTGTTATCTTGGACAGATAATTTCAGTGTGTTCAAAATGCTAGTTGAAGAGAAAGTCACTAGCAGAATCTGGTTTGTTTTATTTATATTTCCTATTTCAAGAACTTGAATTTAAATTGAAATAAGTGGACACGTTAATTTAAAGGAAAAATTTGGGCGGAAAAAATTATAGAAAGTTGTAAAAAATACGAGTTAAATAAAAAAATCCAATTATCTTGGATTCTTATCTATAAGTGGGCGGTAAAGCCTAAATATATAATTCAAATCTCTGTCGTACTTTTTTTTATTAAATTATCCCATTACATTTTAATTAAACATTATTTTTTTACATTTAACTCATTAACTAATGATTTAATTAACTAAAGAATGTAATGTGAATATAAATTTTTGATTTAAATTAGAATATATAAATTTTGTTTGGTTAAGTAACTAAAAAAAGTTCAGAGGGGAGAGAAACACTCAGCATTTATACGCTAAATGTTAGCCATGATGAAACAATAATTGGGACAAAATTTCGAATATCATATAATTTTGGACAAGTCAGTCTTTTCCTTCTAGTATCAATCTTAACTACCAGAGGTCGTTTTAAACGATCAGTTTAAAAGTATACACTGGTGCAAGAGGTATAATAATAATAAAATATCACGAAAAAATTTTTCCAAAAATATTTCAAACCTTTTTGTTAAAATATTCTTTGATATTTTTAGAAACAAGTTTCATGGTTTTAATCAATTTGTTACTAGTATACTTTTATCAGCAGTTGATAACATTTAATCTAGAATTCTTCAAACATTTTGGGGAAAAATTTTACATTATTTTCTAATTAATGAAAGTATGATATATGATGAAAAAAATTATTTTTATCGTTCATTTTGCAAAAGAAAGTACTCTTTCTAAATTTAAGATTTTATTAATAATGTTCTCGCGCATCAGAAGTGCGTATCTAGACATCGGCCTGGAGTTCTCCCCACGATTGAAGTCTGGGGGAAAAGTTATCGTGACAAAAATTCACTGGGCTGTCGTGACGGTGAAAAGCTTTACGTATCGTATCCATTTGATATTATACACGTCAGTAATAGGCAGGGTTAGCTAGCGCGTTCACGCATACGAGCGTAGCGCTTGATTGCGACACAGATATCGAATGTAGTTTACAATTGTTTATAATTAAACAGCATTATTAGTGCATTTGTTTACCTTCTTTCGACGCACCTTGTGTTTGTTAATTGGTCCTAGTAAAAATTACGATCGACCAAGTGACAGCTGCTCTACTTGACAATTGTCACTGTTTTGTTATTGTGCTGAACGAAGGCGGGGAGAATTTTAGAGTGATAAGCAACAGCTTTCACGACTTTATTGAGTGACGAACCGATTAATTTTTTTTATGGAAGCAAAGCGAGAAGTCAAAATGGCAGACGACAAAAACGATGATACGCCGGGGCGGGATTCCGAAAGTAAATCGAATCCAGCGGAGGAGAGATCGCGATACTTCAAAAAGTTGGAAGAATGGCTCCAGGAGGCATACGCCTGGCAAAGTGTCGCAGCAATGTTTCCCTATTACATGATGTCAGGGCAATCCGTTACGAATCCAACATTTGGTACGAAAGAACGCAAGTATTTATTCTTGAAGGTCAACAAATGTTTATATTTTGACATCAGAAACTTTTAAATTATATTTTTGTTTACACAAAAATATAAAGATAAATATACATATATAATATAATATAAATATAGAAAAATATTGGGTTCGAAATATTTCATTAAATATTAAATATTAAAAATTGTAATAAGAAATAAATTGTACCGATAAAGTTAAAATCTTGATTATCCATTTTTTTACATATTGAGTATATTTAATAAATATCATTAAGACACTTTTAATTGTTTTATACAAATTAAGTATCATAATTTGTTACATAATAAAGAACAGTTTTAGATAAACTTACAAAATTGTCAAGACATAATTTCAGCGTTAGAAACGAATTGAATTTTAAACAATGCATAATTTCAGCTTCAATGCCGTTCCAACCAAATCAAATACCAACACCGTCGAATATACAAGGAATAATAACTGGAAACGTAGATAGACAGAATGAGACAGTAAGGCAAAGGAGGCCTCAGGAACAACCCACAGGACCTTTCCAACCTCCAGGAACTGATGGTTAGAATGAGCCTTAGAAAATTGTTGCATATTAAGTATCATTGATTTATGACTCTTTTTATCGATTCAGGTTATGAGTATCGGATTCCCCCGATTTGGAAGAGGTTCGCAGCAGAATTTATAGATTCAACAATGCTATTTCTCTTAAAGTTTTCCATCACTTTCATCGCAATCGACGTCTTCGATTTTATGTAAGTAGAAAAACATGTGTATGTGTGTATTGCTACATTTTTTTAATTGCAAATTATTTCTACCGTTTTTAAAATTTTTTACAAATATTTCTAACATCTCTTCTAATATTTTAGAGACATTGAAGACTTAGATTTGTTGCAAACAAATTTACGTATTGATTATAAAATGGCTCTGGAGATGACTTATGGAATTCTGATTTTGGAAGTAATTCATCGCGTGATAGTTTGTATCTTTGAGGTAAAGAAGTGTTCCATTAATACCTTTTTAAAAGATTAAACAGTCTTTTTATAAAGACAAGTCAATGCTCTTGCATTGAATTACTTCTACAGTAAACTATTAACTTTTTCGCATGAAATTTCAGGCCTTTTGGCTTCAACATGGAGTGTACGGTCTTATCGGAGGAGCCACTCCTGGCAAGTACATGATGGGTTTACGGGTAGTTCAGTGCCGAAGTATAACTCCCGTTGAACGTCCGAATGAGCAGGACGTGGTGCTGGTGAGCCCTGGGACTGATCTGGGCCTGCCATTAGCATTGGGTCGATCAATGGTGAAGAATTTCGTGCTGGCATTCATATTTCCGATTTGTTTTTCCCTGTTCTTCTTTAGGTTCAACAGAACTGGCTACGATTTGATCTGTCACTCCCTCGTCATAGAGGATCCCTACAGAAATAACAATCGGCCACACCAGGAGTAATCTAATGGTGCATGGAAATCTCTGTGATGTGTACATAATGGCTGTATGTGCTTCTTGTACCAAATGCATGCGGGTCATGTGTATGGCGTGTATATACGTGTAAAAAAAAAAAAATAAAAATGATTGCGGCTAGAAGCCGTTCACAAAATTTTTTTAATCATAGGTGGATTATAATATATATTTATATAAATTTCATACAAAATTTTAATTTTTTATAATAGATTTTTAGGATATATATATATGAATTGTTTTCATTCCATTATACTGTGTTGATTTAATATAGAAAATTCTAGTTTTTTTTATACTAACTTAATAAAAACATGATCTAAAATACAGATGCAAATTAAAACACAAATTATACAGTTAAAATACGATTAGGGTTTGTGGGAAGCATGAATTGTAGAAATCGCTGAGCGATTCTTCAAGAATTAAAATACTGTTTGAAATTAAAATACTGCCGTAGCAGTAGAGTAGACTGATGTTGGTGATCATTCTCTCTCGCTCTCTCCTTTTAGAGTCGAAAACCAATTTCTGATTGGTTATCCATTGCGCATCCACGGGAATGTTTTAGCTCAACTTTCGAGAGTTGTGGTTTCTCTCTGGTATCAGCTATCACTGCTATCAGTCAGTTCTCTCTCCTCTCGGACCATCTCGGACTCTCGGAAACCGGTGGTGCCATCTACAGAGTTCTCTTCGACGGTTCGACTCTGGTCAGTCCGGTGCTCCGTTTTTCAGTCGCGACGTCACTTCCCAGTTAAACGTGGCCGACTCGTAACAAGGAAGGAGTGGCATCTAAGCGAGCGTCGCGAGCTGTCAAGCTGTCGGCCCTGAATAGCCCGAGAGAGAGCTAGCGGAGACTTTAATCAGCCGGTGCAGCTGATCGCTTAAATGACTCGTCGTGGCGGCCATTGAGCGCGTTATCGAGTATCCGTTAGCATCGAGACCGCCGGTTTTAAGCCTGCCGAGAATCCGTTCAGGCGCGACGAAAGAAAAACATGTCGTCCTCGGGCGATTTCGGTAACCCGTTACGGAAGTTCAAGCTTGTCTTTCTGGGCGAGCAGAGCGGTGAGTGTTCCGATGGTGTGTCAACAAGTGTATCAATGTTCTACGAAAAAAATGGATCGATTTTCCCGACCGGGGGGAAGCGATATCGCGAGCTTCATACAGGCCCAATCGGGGTGACGACCCTTCTAGGTTATGGATCAATATTCCCCACCGCCGCCGCGACGACACGGTGTCGCCTGTCGCCGTCGTTAACTGCGCTCGTTGATTGTTCGGTCGTTCTGACCGCGCGTTCAAGCGTTTCGAATGTGCAACGTGGTGTCTGCGCCCTGCGCTTTTTGCCAAGTGGCACCCTGATGGCCGCGTTCATCATTAAGGATGATATTACACGTATTTTTTTTAACAAAATGAAAAAATTATGAAAAAATTTATTGATTTTTCTATATTGGATTTAAAAGTAAAACAAAAAGTTTGACAGCAATTTCGAATTTGGATAGAAATTATTTCAATAAGAAGTAAATATATTTAAAAAAATATAATTTAGATGAAATAAGATTTTGTTTTTCATTTAGACTATAAAATTGTATTGTTAATCGATATAAAAATATTGATTTTACTAAACTATTTCGTATGGATATAATATTTATTTTTATACGAAAAGTTAAGTACCAATTTCAGTCACTTTTTGTAGAAACTACACACCTGATATGTCCTTAACTGCATGGCGGGTCTTTAGAGAGAGAATGTTTCTTTATTATAACAATAGAACATTAAGAAAATTTATTAATATAATAAAGATATTTAAATGTTAATTTTGCTAATTTAAATTTTATTAATCATAATTTTTTGTTGTACAAAGAAAAAAAATAGCAATATAAATTTAACGAAAGAGATTATTCCCCGAGTTTTAAAAAATTAAAAATTAATTAATGTTTAGTTTGAAAAAATTTAGGATGTCAGTTATATCTAAATAAATGCGCCATATAATTTTGTTATTGCAGTTGGAAAGACCTCTCTTATTACGCGGTTTATGTATGACAGTTTCGACAACACATACCAGGTATATAATAATTTATTTATATCTTAATAATTAATTTGTAAGTAATGTAAATAAGTTATTTTTGTTGTGTGCTTTTTATCATTCACACCAGTTTTTTTTGCATGCACATTGTGCAGGTTGTGGAAAATTGTAATAGCTGTGTATTTTGTTTTATAAATTTATAGGTCAAAGCATTAATATATTAGTTATTTAATGTAAATATTAAATTTATGTAAATATTTATTAATACATGTATTTTTTTCTATTAAAATAAAAATTTAAATTTATATAAATACAAAATTTACATTTTTATGTAGTTTTATCAGAAATGACAAATTTTTTTAATTTTATTGAGAACAGATTTATACTTGATTATATAAATAAAAATGAATAATTAGATAATTTTTTGATACTTAATGAAATTCTACTGCATTTATTTGCATGATTTAGAGCAGTAACAAAATTGGATATATATTCTGACAAACCTGTATTGAACAATATTTATTGGCTATAAACTGTGATACAATAGTAGTCTAGGGGAACCGTATCCAATAATGCAATTTTTTCAGATAAAGAAACTGAAATGTAGTCATTTTAAACATACTTTATATTATAATACACAGTTATTTATAAATCTAATTGTTTCAAGTTACTTGAACTTAATAATATTTATTGCGAAATTATGATAAAGAAAAATTGAAAGCAAAAAAGAAAAAAAATGCAAGATATCAAGTAATCTGAAACAATTAGTTTATATTTGATAAATATTATTTATCAAATAAATAATTTCTATTGCATGAGTATAATTTGTAATGTATTAGTTTGTTTCTTTGTCCTGAACCTATTAATTTTCACTATAATAAATTATGTACTATTGTTTGCGAAATAAAATGCTTGATTTTTATTTACTCTGCTATTTCTTGTCCTATGTTGTAAATATTATTGTCGAAATTTATTGATAACACATTTATGTATTTATTAATGCACCTAATAATTTTTTATTGACACGTTTATGAGAATGGCTATACATTGTTTGGCGACTTATCGATTACATGTTTATATAGTTTGTTTACCATCTGCCTCTCGGCTCGTAAAATTATTTAAATTCATTGTTTTACTTGGATCTTTAATCAAGAAAATTGCATTTAATTTATTTTTTCTATTTGTTATAATTGCACTTTTAAAATTTTGCTCTTGTTTTTTTGTATTATTTTATATATAATTTTAAGCATATAATTATATAATTACATTGTAAATGCAGAGAGTGTAAAAAAGTGCAGTTAGAAGGAAAAGGCCTAATGCTAGCAGGAGGAGGCAGTAGGGAACCAAGATATTGACTTTTTCTAATCGACAAAGATGGAAAGAGAGACGAAGAAATTTACAGGACGTCGATAACTCGCTTTTCTTTCTTTCTTTCTTTTTCTCTATTCATATTATTGTATTATTCATATCATAATAAGGCACTGTGCTAATAAATTATATTGTGTTTAATTACATTATAATAAAGTAAATAAGTAAATTAAGTAAATAATATAATAAAATTATTTTTTAACATTATATTTATATTAATCTCTTTTTAAAAATATCGCTCACATATTATTTTACCTTATTTAAATTATTTTTCCAGAATTAGTTTTAATTTTTTTGTCAATTTCTAAAAGTAACTTGGTTTGTTTACATTTTTGGTATTATGACAAGGGTTAATTGAATAATTTTTAATACTTTGATTAATTATATATATTATGTATGTTACAGGCTACGATAGGTATAGATTTCTTAAGCAAAACCATGTATCTTGAAGACAGAACTGTGAGACTACAGCTGTGGGATACAGCGGGGCAAGAACGGTTCCGTTCTTTGATACCTAGTTACATCAGAGATTCTACTGTCGCGGTCGTTGTTTACGATATTACCAGTAAGCACTCGGTATATAAGGAATACGGTGTCCTAAAAAGCTATGTGCCAGTAGCTTCGAATTTGATGTTGAAATATTGTTCAAATAAAAGAACTTTAAAATTTATTCATATAAAGGACATATTTTACATAAATTTATTTATAAATTTTTAGTTTAAAACTTTAAAATCTGTTTGGAGATATATATATATTTTCAGATTCGTTAATTTTTATTTTTTAAATCAATTTTCGTTTTTTTAATATCTATATGAACAGCACATTAAATCGATAATTTTGATTCTCTTTGTAAACAAAATTTTAACAAATTATTCTATTAAAATTTAATATTAATGAATAATGTTTATGATAATAATAATATAAATTTAATTGCGCTGGCATACGCTATTATTGGTACACCTTGATAAATAAACCATGATATTAAAATTGCAATACTAAGTATAAGCATATTCGGGCCTATGACAGTCAAAGCTAGATCTTTTTTGCCTAAATAATTCCCAGTGAATTATCTATATCCTATATATGTAAATGCATATATATCATATTTTTGTAGTTATTCAAACTGCGCGCCGGATTTTATCTAACGCAATTAAACTACTGCAATAATATCACAAGTTAAATTAAATTGACTATACATGCTGAAAACCTTAAATAAATTTATTGCGAAAAATATTACCTCGGCCGGGACTTGAACCCGGAATTCTTGTGTTCCGTACGAGCGTCCTAAGCCATTAGACCACCGAGGCCTTAGTAATATTCTTCGCAATAATCAGTATATGTAAGAACAATAACGCTTCTTGCAAGCAGCGTGTATAACCAATAATAAGATTTTATTCGGACCGACAAGAATTAAACACTAAGTATAAGCATATTCAGGCCTCTGACGGTCAAAGCTAGATCTTTTTTGTACAGAATACAAGAGATTCGGGTTCAAGTCCCGGCCGAGGTAATATTTTTCGCAATAAATTTATTTAAGTTTTTCAACACATTGTCAATTTAATTTAACTTGTGATATTATTGCAGTAGTTTAATTGCGTTAGATAAAGTCCGGCGCGCGCAGTTTGAATAACTACAAAAATATGATATATATGCATTTACATATATAGGATATAGATAATTCACTGGGAATTATTTAGGCAAAAAAGATCTAGCTTTGACCATCATAGGCTCGAATGCTTATATGGTATTTTAATTTCCTGTCGGTCCGAATAAAATCTTAGTATTGATTAAAATTGCATATTTGTCAGATGCCAACTCGTTTCATCAAACATCCAAGTGGATAGACGATGTGCGGACTGAAAGAGGAAGTGATGTGATAATTATGCTAGTGGGCAATAAAACTGATTTGAGTGATAAGAGGCAAGTTTCGACGGAAGAGGGCGAGCGAAAAGCGAAAGAACTAAATGTGATGTTCATCGAAACTAGTGCTAAGGCTGGCTACAATGTTAAACAGGTAACTGTGTCAACTTTTTATATGATCGATACATAGAGAAACCTTCTTGATCTGTGCGTATGTGTGTGGAGTAAAATTATTGTTATTATTAATTATTTTAGCTGTTTAGAAGAGTAGCGGCAGCTCTGCCGGGTATGGACTCCACCGAAAACAAGCCTCCCGAAGACAGTATCCTTTGCGTAAGATACTTATTGCACGCAATTTGCATGGCATATTTGCAGGAACGTTCGCGGCGACTTCTCTTGTTTTACGTATACATAATTCCCACTTTACCCATTATTATCTATTATTATCATTATCTTTCAACTTTGTATATTACTATCGACTTTTTTGTTATCATTTTTTCTTCCATTACTTCTTCAAATTAGAATAGTGAAAATCGATTCTTATATGCTATTTTTCCCGATTTTATTTACTAATTTATTATTACTGTTTCCTTTTAAACATGAAACTTTCACGTTTTATATATTTATTTAATTTTTTTTCAAGAATATTTTTTCAATAATTTTGATAACAATTAAAATTTTCACATTTCTTTCCATTTGTTATATTTTTTGAAGAATCATCCACCTGTTCTAATTTCTCGCTTTTGATTTCGGGACTGGATTTATTTGGCAATCCGCCGGACGTTACATTTGTTTTGTTATACTTTTGTGTTTTCCTTAATAAGTTTTTTAATTCGTAGTGCAAGAGGTAGTGCTCAAGGACACGCCAATCGAACTGAAAGCCTCGGAGAGCAGTTGTGCATGCTAAGTCGTCGTCGGCCTGTACGGTAGCAGGGTATCGAATCGAATCACAAAGAGTCTTAATAATTTCTGAATAGGGTTTAAACCGTCTCAGATTGTTCTGGAGCGGTTTAGGGACTTTTTTGAAAAACATAAACTGATTTTCCAAAGAGATTTCTAAGAAAGTTGTTTTTCGATTTTTTTTTAGTAAGCAATTAGTATTAATGTATTATCGCATATTATATATTACAATTTAATAATATTAATGTGTAATATATTAATATATTATTGTTTACTTGTGAAAACATAATTTTTTAAATTGAGAAACATTTGCTTGGAAATTTTCTTAGGTAATAAATATAAATATATATATATATAAGATTATTATTGATAATATATTAATAGTATTAATACAATTAATTTATTTTAATTTGTTCTATTTCAAGATTATTCGAAGAGAATAACATATAATTCTGTTTCTGTTCGATGCCCTGACTAGTAGACAAAACACTGAGCTAAGTTAACTTATAAGTTAATGACTTAGGACGTTAGGATACTGATTGCATTCGGCCTGTGGTTTTCGTGATCTCGGGAAAACTCGTGAGAAGCCGTGCACTGAGCAGCAACGATTTTTATTAAGACAAGAAAAAAATACAATTTCACACAGTAGTTTAAGACTGCTTTACACACTGACGTGTTATATATATTAGCCGATCGTAGAAAACTTATTTAATTCTTTCGACTTTGATGCAGTAATTATATTGTTGATAAAATTATGGAGTTCTTTCAAAAAAGTTGTGAGAATTTAAATTAGACCCATTTTGGATTCTTACAAATTAAATCAAATTAAAAACGTTTTATTTTCTATTATTATTTAGTCAATGGAAATAATTATTTGAATTAAAATAATTTAAAATTTATTGAATCTTATACAAGTCTTTATTAATTGGTAAAAGTGTTTTGCGTTTTTTAATAATGCTGTATTTATTATGCACCATATAAAAGAGACAAGATTTAAATTAAAAAGAGGCAATTTTAAAAATTATATTTCTTTATTTAAATATGTATCAAAACTGAAAGAGTTGATGCAGCCCTTATTAAAATATCAAAGTTTATCTAAGTTTATTTCGCTTGTTAATATCGGTTATTTAATATCATATGTATTTTTTCATGCGTACAATTAAACCTATATCGATAGTTGCTCAAATTAACATTAAACGGCTGATAGAAGTGAATCGCTTTTTTTTGTGTTTTTATTTATTTTACAGAAAGAGAGACAATTTATTATCAATAAAGACGATATATTAATTGTCTTATACGTTTGCAATAAATAGGGAAAATAAGACAGCTGCATTTGCATTTATCATATTTAGCAACAATCACATCGATTTAGAGTATTGGTTATGAATTATAGACTAAACGCGTTACGTAAATGCAGTCCTCGTGATAATTAAAACTTTTAAATAGTCAAGTCTTAATGATTAATAAATAATAATATATAAATCCTCGCTTTATCCGAGACTATAGAGAAAAAAATAAGTAGATGAAACTCAACATGGAAAGCTTAATTTGATCAAATTCTGAATATAAATATTAATTGACGAGGAAAAATTAGACAAGAAAAAAAGAAAGAAAATGAAGGGAAGTACATTTAAAAGAAATTTTTTACGGAATAAGTGGCTAATTAATTAGCAGCTAACTATATCTCTTTTCTACAAAGCATACTTTAAGAGTAGAATAAATGAATAACTCTGTACAAACTCAGATTTATTTTATTGAATCAAATATTTTCTTTCCTTGAGCTATTATTTATATGTTCTTTTAGGATCAACGTAAATTTATAAAGAATTAGTTTATAAAAGAAGAGAAAAACATTATTTGTATATTGCGTATATAATTTGAAATTTGGATAAAAAATACTTTTAATTTGTAATAAGATACCTTTACATTGTAATGTTTCCTTTGTTAATAATTTGTTATTAATATCCTAATTTATGTAAAAAAACTTAAACTATCGATAATATAAAGAAATATTGCATAATATATTTTATGTTGTTTCTCGTCTGGATTTTCTTTATTTTTCCCTTATACTAATTCTTTGTTATTGTGCCGTTATTTTTAAAACATTGATATGAGAATATAATTTATCTTATAAAATATTTATTTTTAACTTAATTTTTTTCACTTAACTCGACTTTCTTATTGTTCTCCTATGAGTTTTTTTTTCTTAAATTAAATAAAAGGCATAAGAATAATTATCGAAAAATGTTACCAAAATTACATGTAACGAATTTGTAAGAGAAAAAATTTATATTAATAATTTTAATATTTTCGAGAATTATATATGTAGGGCTTGTATCAAATGATCTAAAAAAATATTTATTTTTTATATTGGGCTTGTAATTGATAACATTTATAGACAATTAATTCAGAATACTAATTTAAAATTTAATTTTAGCTGGATTTTGGGTTGAACTTTTATTAACTTTATAATAATACATCTATTTTTTATTACATCTATTTTTTATTTTATTCCGTGTTCTTATATAATATTCTTTTTCTATAAGATTTTGTTTTGAACATTTATAGCAAATTAGCCAGTAATTCTAGAACATATTCTCCGTCCCGTTTTTGAACTTTTATACGCTTTTCGATTGTCACTTTTATTAGCTTTGATAAGCAGAAATTAAAACGCGATGGTATACGCAATTAAATTAGAATTGTATTGTTATGTGTGAAGGATTATTATTGATTAGATGAAAATTAAAGAAAAATTAGTTATGAGATCATCTATTTGGAAGCGACAAATATCATTATAATGGATAAATACTTAGAAATTTGTAGATATTAGAAAAATCGTTTAAAAAATTTGTTTATTATAGTATCATTAAGGATTGCATTGTACTTCATTTGGTTTATAAGAATTCATTGTATTATTGAAACATCAACACGCATTGATTAAGTTTAAAGCTACCAATCAAATGTTTATCAAGTGCAATAATGTATTTACTGACCAATAATATTGCCAAATTGCAAAAAGTGCATAAGCCTTTTTGGTATTTTATTTTTCGGAACGCTTTCTCCTCCTATTGGCACAACAAATCTGATAGACTGCATCGTGCGAAATATATCTATATTGATACACGATTTGGTTAATTCTTTTTAAAAAAAAAGCTAAATAAAATTTAATTAATTTCTTAAGAAACACCGAGGAAAGAAAGTGAGACAAAATTGCTACGTTTGCATAAGAATGCAAGTTGAAAATGCAACACGCCTTAACACACAAAAGCAGCTGTCGACTTGCAGAATCAATCGCCGATGCAGAATGGCTCCGAGTCAGAGGGCGAAAGCAGCTGCATCTGTTAGAGCGATCCATCGTCTCAATCTGAAGAGAGAGAGAGAGAGAGGGGGGGGGGGGGGGGGGGGAAAGAAAGAGCGGGAAAATCACAGTCAATCTCCCGTCACGAATCACCATACTATTGCAGGATGTTGCTGGCTTCTTCTGACGTCGTTATGGGAACAGAGGGCCTTCGTCGCCGATCTCGGGCCCTAAGTATCGTTTCAAGTGCTACTAGACGAACTCATGCGATATCTGACACTAGCTACTTACGTTGTTTTCGGGTCGGCTTTGTGCGAGATAATGGAAACCGTATCCTTCAGGGTATTTCGACGTTTAAGCTTGAAACGATGATAGCTGCTGAGTCCACGTAAAATTCTCTGCTTTTTCAATCTATTTCGAGAGTTAATTCTTTCGCGTCTAACTTAAAATATATTTTATAAGGCTCTTGCTAAAGTAAAACTATAGGTGATAAATTTTGTATTTATATTAATGTATATATATTAGTTAATAGTTTCTCAACCATGGATCAAAATATTATGAATTTATTGTTTCAACTTTATATTAATTGATAAATCTATAAATGTATATTTTATATTTTTATATTATTATTAATTATATTATTAATGTAAAATTATGGGACTTATAGACATTGAATATTATTGTATAACACTTTGCTAAAACAGTAAAAGAGAGATGCTTTTTTTGTAGTTAATTGACGCGAAAGGGTTAAAGAAATAATAATTATGGCAG